CATACAGCATTCAGTTTTATGCATAGTATTAATTCACTCTCATGTCCATGTCCTCCAGTGTGATGTGAGTTGCTTAACACTGACTCATATTATGACTGAAATGGCAAACTTCCGTTTGATTTATGTGGCTTGTGTTTGCTAGCCCGGGAGGATGGAAGTACACCAGAAGCCGTGGAGACATAGCAATAAATTTTAATTACGCCAGCGGGTCAGTCTGCGTTCACACGTGGGAGACTGGCCCCGTCCCATGCTTGAACAAAGAAGATATACATTCTGGGAGGGGGCGTTTCAAGTGAGGCAACTTTGGTACACATTCATTGATTACAAAAAATTGAACATACATTAGCAAGTGGGCTCAGCCACGGTATTGGCTCATACATAATACTGGTGACATGCTATTGGGTGATTTACGGTATGAGGTCTGTCTCATTTACATTCTGGTGAAATGACAAAACCCTTCTTGAGACAAAGACATTCCTGAAGTGCGGAAGTTGGTTCAGACATGTTCAGGCATGTGAGGCAGAGGAGGCCCAGACATGTTGAACAAAGACAATTTCAAGTAGGGAGTTTCCTGTAGCAAGTCCAGCTTGAACCACAGGTGCAGAATTTCCTCGCAAAATTCCCTTTCATGATCAGACCTATGATAATGCTTGGCATATACTAAAGGCTTATTTGAGGACTGCTGAGTAGGATTAAATTGGAGGCAGTTGAAGCTACAATTTTGATATCTCAATTTACATCTGTAATGGGGCCGGGGATTTAGCTCAGTGGTTCCACTGCCTGCCTTGCAAGTGCAAGGACCTGAGTTTGATCCCCGGTAAAAAAAAAAAAAAAAAATTACATCTGTAATTTGTTCAGTGGTGGTCAATGGAAACATATACACATTTTAATCCTGGAATTTGTGAATATGAACGTGTGGGAAGTGTATATATTACTTTATGTGGATCTCAAAGGGTGGAGCTTATCTTGGATTATTTGGAAGGGCCCTAAATGTATATATTTTGATAAATCTGAAGAAAGAGAGAGAAAAGGAAGCAATTTAACAACAGAGGTAAAGGATGGAGAGATGCAGACTCAAGTTGAACAACACCACCTGGGACGATCAGAAGGTGGAAGAGCCTTTCTTTCTCCTGGAGCTTTGACAGTGAGTGTGACCCTGATCTCACCTTGGTTTTGAAGTTCTGGCCTCTGGAACTGTGAGTGAATGAAAATCTGTTGCTTTAATTTAATCATTTAGTTTGTGGAAATTTGTTACAGCATCCCTAGGAAACCAGTGTATCTTGTGGAAAATTTCTGAATATATATTCTTGTAAAATTGTAGAGTTCTTTGGATCTAATCATAAGAAAGAGTGAAAAGTTATACAAGATTTGTCCTGAAAGTCTTTTCAGATCCTCTAGTGGGCTAAGATGCCTTGTGTATCCCCAAGAGTATAGCAATTCTCAGCATCTCTTATCCTATAATTCTTTCCTTCCATATTTATATATTTCTATAGATGTTATTGTTTAGAAGAACAGAGTTTGGGAATCTATAATATATAAAGCCTTTCTTCAATGGAATCAGGAGGTTGGAAGAGGTAAAGAGTATTGCTCCTGCATTGTGGATAGAGGAAACCAGTAGGAGTAAAATTATTTCTCTGGTACTGCTTCTCTTAGGTTTAACTTTACAAAAATCTTCCTCAAACTTTGTTTTCGTGTATTTAATAGAGCCAGTTCACTTCCAAAGGCAGTGGGCCTTGGGGCTAGGCCTAAGGGAAAAAGCTGAGGAATTGAGTAACTTCACTTAGTCTCCAGGTAGACAGAGGGAATGGCCAGCTCAAGGTATAATTTGGAACATTTACGTTCATTTTAGTGCATTTCTCCCTCCGTTTGTTATTATCCTTTCCAGCTTTAGTCTCTTAGAATTTCTCTCTTTCCCAATGTAAGCAACAGACCAATAGCTCATGAGCAGCATACTCTGTACAAGAAAGAGATACTAATTGTATTTATTTTGGCAAACCTACTACCATCACTTATACCTGGGGCAAAAGTGGAAGGAAATCAAGGACATCCCCCACAATAAACATGGCTAATAACTGAGTTCTGACTGGACAGTTGCTGTTTAGAATGTGGAAGAGAAGTCAATAGGGTTGTAAGTCTTGGTTTAGTAGGGTTTTTCAAACTTCAGAGAACATTAGAGAAAAATATGACTCAGCCTCCTGAAAATATTTAGATAGAAAGAGAAAACTCTTCTTGGTAACTGAGTGACTCTTAAGTGGCTTCAGCCTCAAGATGGTGAGAAGAAACTCCTAAAATATGCTGGAAAATTAATTCTTCCATTATTCAAATGGAAGGATTTCTCATTAGCTTATACTTACAAATGACTACTTTCTTGCCAAAACTCAAATTATGTTGTTTCAACCCCCCTTTAATGATTTCAAGATTGCTTACATTAAATTAGTGCCATTTAAACAACTCTTGGTTATTTCTGAAATGTTTCTCAGTTATTTCTCTCACAAACCTACAAATCACCTGTCTGACTTTTCAGCTCTTCTTTCTCTGATCTGACTCCTATTGGTTTACATTTATTGCCCATAAAACTAAGAGTGGAAATGGATTTTTCAAGCTTGTTGTAATGAGATGGTTCAAAAATGTCTTGTCTTAAGGAAAGAGATGCCTGGCTCTGTGTATAAATATGGAGGTAACATCCTATGCTACCCAAGGGTAAAGATATCATCTGAGCCTGAATCTTGATCTTGTTCTACTTGTGTCCAATGTCTCACAGTATTTTGTTTTGGGCAATTTAGTCAGTGTGTGTTCTCTGACTTGAGTGTGTCTGTAGAAAAAAACCTAACTGCAATAATCCATGCTACCTATCCCTCTATCCTCCTAGCCTGGTACATAGCAAATGTTAAGTTCAAACTGTGAATGGTCTGACATGACTTGCAAGCTAACAAGTTAGCCTACCATTTGATGTGTGTGCGTGCATACATATATGGTGAGCGTGTGGCTGATACATATATATTATGTGACTATAAATTTTACATATGAGTGGGTTCCTCACAAGGAAGCATGATGATAGACTGATGTTACTTCCATATGTGGTGGAGTGGTCACCACAGGAGAAGAATTCTGAAATTCTGAAACTTGGAAGTTTATATAAGAGATGATGAGATGTCTTCCCATCTTATCTTGTGGAGAGACAGAGAAAGAACTTCTTTATGGAACATAAAGAAATTGTTTCTGTACAGAAGAGAAAGTTTCACTTTGGTATGTAAACTAATGACTCCGGGGAGGGACGCTCCTGTGAGTGCTACCAAGTTTAATGGTCTTTACACTTGAAGCCAAGGTTTGTGTCCCTCAAATTCATAAGCTGAAAGTCTAACCCCTGAAGGCGATTCTGTGAAGAGGTGGTGAGGATGAGATTGATGTATTTATTTGTGAAAGAGGCCCGGGGGAGCTTGCTTGCCCTTTCACTGTGTGAGGACAAAATAAGAAAGTGCCACCTATGAACAGAAAGTAAATCCTCACTAGACACAGAATTGGTAGCATCTTGATTTTGGACTTTCAGAATTGTAAGAAGTGAATTTCTGTCATTCACAAGTCGCCTAGTCTATGGTATTTTGTTATAGCAACAAAGAGGGATGAAGACATTTGATATTCAATCACATTTTAATTCAGGTGCTAGTGCTCTTTCTTCAGAAAGCCCTGACTGCGTGAAAAAAACATGAAAATATTTAAGAAGCATTGTCTCTCAGCAGAAAAATGCTTCACTCTCTCTGTCTTTTTTTAGGCAGGCAGCCAAACCAGAACCACTGAGCTAAATCCCTGGCCCTATGCTTCTCTTTTTTCTCATAAATAAAGAAACAAGCCTGAGGGTATAGCTTGGTTGCAGAACACTTGCCTAGTGTGTAAGGGTTTGATTTGCAGCACTGCAAAAAATAAAAGAAAAAAAAGGAAAAGAAGTAAAAGTATTATATGCAAGAGCAGTGCCTGAGACTTAGTTCAGTTAACCCTAAATGGTAATTATAGTAATTTATTGCTATTAGGATAAGTTACACTCATATATCAGTGTCCCCAGTCCACAGAGAAAACTGCAATAATTCTCTCCTGCCTCCTTAGCGTCACTCCCTCCCTTCTTTCCTTCCTTCGTACTCTTCTTTTTCTTTCATTATTCTTTTGTGTAACATATCCATTGGCTATCAGCTATGTGACAGACACTGTGCTCAGTGCTGGAAATATTAGTGTTAACAAAATAGGCACAGTCTAGAGACCTAAAGTCTAGAGCAGCTTGAAGACCATTTTAAACAAAACATTATTATGTTATCATTAATCATAATTTTAAAAAATATTATGAAGGAGGAACCATGGTGCTCTTAAGAGTGTATATACCAAGAGAAACAAACCTCATTTGGAAGTGGTAGGCAGTGAACACTTTAGTAAGTTCATGAAATATTTGAGCTGCGCTTGTGCTGAAAAGTCATTTGCTGTTCATCTGAAATTCTAATTGAATTGTATTCTTATATTTTGCCTGGCAACTCTTTGTGTGTGAGGTGAGGGAGTGATTAAAGAGCGCTGCTTTTAGGAAGTGCCATGAGTGTAGGACCTAAAGGGTAAGTTGGTGTTAAGCAGGGTGAGAGATGTGAGGATGAACACCCAGAGCACAGGCAGACTAGACAAGGAGAGAAAATGTAGTGTATAGAAACAGAAAGAACCTGACATCCTTAGTTATTATAGCAGGAGCACAAGGAGCAAAAGAGAAAGTTGATGGAAAGATCAGTGCCCAGCAGGCTAGGTCAAGGATGATAGAAGTTAAACAGAATGAAATGAAAACCTCTCTGGCCTCCACATTTCTCACCGATAGAACAAGATTAACAACATCTTCCAGTGGGAATTGTTTGGTTTTATGACACAATGAATGGAATCTTGACACTGAGCTTAGCAGACAATAGGTGCTTGTCCAACAATTGCTCATGCAGATTGGCTTTCCAATTATTATTATTTTAAAGAATTCTAGAGAACTTTGGTGAGAGGTTAGAAGGTGAAGGAAGGGGAGTAATGTGTGGGCAGAGGCAGACATTATGTTCCCTATGGCGTTTGCCTGTGCTTGTGTAGAATATTTGATGGGTCAGTTCTGGAGCTTCAGGAAAGATATGGATTCAAACAGCAGGTGCTCTGAAACTCTCAAACTATGAGATGTCAAAAGTTCGATTGTGGTGGGAGAAAGAAGAAACTGTGAGTCCTAAAGTTTCCTTAGACCACAGGTAACCTTTTTAACAGGACCTTCTAGAGATAATTTAATTCAAATAGATTCTATGTATTAATTAAAAATATTTATGAAAGCCTCTAATGCAGTTAGGAGGGAGCTTACAGCCTAGAAAGAAAACGAGAGGTAAAAAGATACATTCAGGGGATCCAATGCTGACTGTTTCAGAGTGGGTGTATTTTATTGGTAAGAATTTCGTACCAGAGAGGGGAGAAGATCTTAGAGTATCCCTCAAGACACCCAGTGAGTGGACTTTGTCAGCCTTAGTTCCTTTTTCCTTCCCTGATTGTACAGCTGGCTGGGGCTATAGAGCTAGTTTGTCATCTGATTTCTCATTTTTCTCAAGCTGAGAACAAATTGTAGGTGTGTACTGGGGCAGGTAGTATTTAATAAATGTTGGTTGAATTCAGTTGTTTATCTAGTGGCTTAGTGCCAGGTAGATGGCAAAATATTTACTAGAATCGTTCATACGTTAAAAAAGCACAAGAGTTACATGTTCATTGAGCTGTTAGGGTTTTCAGAAAAGATAGATGAGCTTGAATCCATTCATAGCTGTGTCTAGTCTATACTTTTGCAAAGCAACTGGCCATATTAGGAGAAAAGTCAGGGCTGAAAATAGGCAGGCCAATCCTTTAATACAAGTGATGCCCATATTCTAATCCTTGAAGAGAGGTGAAAAATAGAGCCCAGAAGGAGCCAATCATCAGTATTTATAATGTGAGATCCTATGACATGTTTAGTTAAAGTTCACCATAGTTTAATGCCTCTAACAATTTTTTGTCCTCTGCTGTGAAAAAGAAGCACATAAAAAAAAAACAGTCTACTAAACAGGATTACATTTAAGAATGTGAACCTTCACTATACCTTCTATGGAACAAAGGAAACTGTGGTTTCTGAAAATGTCCCTGTGGCACCAAACTTTAGAATCATCAAAGGAAGATTTGGTTGTATTCAGAAAGGCTGTGTCCCCTCACAAGAAAGGAAATGTTATGTTTTACAACTATTGGCAACTATAAGATCTGAAATGAAAATATTAGTAACTCCTAGTTAGAAGATTCAACTAATTTCTACCTTTTCAGTGGTCATGGATTTCAGGTGCTAGGTTCTCTGGAGGTAGTTGAGGAAAACCCAGTCTTCTAGAAGGTTGCACACTAAAGCAAAAGAAAAGAAAGGTAAAATGGAAATGTATAAAACTCAAACAGGGGTCTAGGTTTAAAGTCATTGATGTACTGATTTTAGTTTTTCAAAAATAACCCTTCTCTTTTTAATACTCTCGTTCTCTCTCCCTCCCTCCTTCTCCCCTCCACAATTTCTGTGTAAATGTCTGATATCTACACAGATTATCACATGCTCTGCCCTCTGACCAGTTTCAAAAGATGAATTCAGACCTGGTTTCTTTAGCTTGTAACAAGGCTATGTAACTATAGGAGACACAATAAAAGGTCCATAGCCTACCATTAGAAATATTATAAGGAACACCATGAAAGAGATTCTGATAAAATGGATGTTAAACTCACCTTCCTTAATGAACTTGGGTTTATTGAGAAATGTATTCACAAGGGATATAGCACACTGCTAATAGTGCAAAATACATCTTTCAGGAAATTAAAAAATTGAGAATTGGAATTTGAACAGAAATCAATACAATATTTTTGTAATTATTTAGGACAATTATCTATTCTTCTTTTCCTCCATGTACTAAATGTGTATACTTTTTAGAGAGAGAGGATAAAGCTTGGAATTCAGATGTATGTTTTAGGCATTACTGATATGTTGTCTTCTCCAATAGATGAGTTTTGAAGGTAGTTACTTTTCCAATTAATTTTAAGTCTGAAGTGTCTAACACAGTTATTGGTACATAATACTTGCCAAATAAGTGGCTTGGATTACTGGACATGGTATTATGAATACGGTATTTTTTAATGGGGAAGTATTGTTTTTAATTCCCAGGGAGCTTTGTGGAACAGGAATATTGAATGTGTGTGTGTGTGTGTGTGTGTGTGTGTGTGTGTGTGATGGACAGTTCGGCCTATGGACAGCTCTGTTAAATATCTTACCAATATGGGACAATCTTCCTTAGTCTTCTCATCCTTTCAGGTGAATACAATCAGCCTCTGTATCCAGGTGGGCATATTCAGCCAACCACAAATCAAAAATATTACCAAAAAAGTTACATCTTTGCTAAACATATGTAGGCTTTTTTCCTATATATAAACAGTTCAACTATTTCCATAGCATTTACATTACATTAAGTATTATAAATGACCTAGAAATGATTTAAAGTATATGAGAGGATGCATATGAGTTGTATGAAAACACTACACAATTTCATATGATAGAATCGAACATATTGGTATCCTTGGGAGCCCTACAACCAGTGTCCTGAGGACATTGAGGGATAACTGCTGTCTCTAATGTTGTGTGGCCTTCCAGAGATTCTATTTCGGTCCTCAAAAAACTTTAAATCATTGTTACCACATACAGGGTTGAAAATAGGTTTAGCTATTTTAGAAATCTGCTTCTTTTGAACACTTGTGGAAAATCTCAAGCAATGAGTACACTTTGACCCAGTCATTCCACATCTAGAAATTCATCCTAGAAAAGAAGCACAGCTATTATGAGGATGATGTGTATAATTTTTCTTGGAGTGAGAATGGAGTAACAAACTTGTCCCAAGTCGTTAAACTGGCCCTTTTTGAATACAGTCATTTCCTAAGTGTTGAGCAAACTACCACTGACCACCTGCGGCAAAATCCTAAATTCTCCCTTTTGCTGTATGCGTATTTTGAGGTGCTGTTTGGATTTATGAGAATGGGCACCAAGCATTCTAAGGATATAGCAAACTGCTAGACTCAGTGCTTCAGAAAGAGCTATATACATTAGGGGTAGAGATGGATTCCTTGGGGTATTAGAGATTAAGAGGGGCTAAATAGGGAAGAATTTAAAGAAAGCATCAGACTCAGAGGCTCATAGCCAGGGAAGAATGTTGAAGAATTTAAGGCAAGGAGGGATCTTTATAACGTTGGTTGCTCTGTAGTATGTTTGATATAAGGTTTCACCTTGTTCTTACTATAATATCTTCTGATGTTTAAAATTTGACTGAGGTATTAAATGAAAGATTAGATATAGGAAAGGAGAGAGTGAGTCAAATAGATCCCTGATCCCCATCTCCCTTAAAAATCCTAAAATACAGTGTAGGAAGAAAAGCAGAAAATATAAAGGACAGATTGAGTGAAAGTATTTATCACTGACCTTAAATTTGTATTTAACCAAAAGCAAAAACTCTATACATCTGTGAGAAATCAAACAGAAAAATAGAAGAGCAAAAAAAGAAAAAAGAACAAATTCCATGAAAGAAAATGCAGTATAGATATCAGGTAAGCATAGAAGGCATTCAGTTTCATAAAGGTGATAGAAATAAAACTAAAATCATTTTACATTGGTGTATAATTTTATACTCAGCAGATGGCTGTCTCTTTATTCACCCATCCATCCATCTGTCCATCCATTTGTCCATCTATTTCAGCATTCAGCCTTGACACGGAGTCAAGGGAAGCTTCTACTTCTAGTGATGGAAATGTAGTTTGGTTCAGTCTGTGAGGAGAACAACTTAACAGTGTATGTATCACATGATATAAAATGACCTAGAAAATCCTGTCCTAGGCATATTTTAAAGATATCACTCTTGTTCTTTGCATAAGGAAATGGGTATAAAGATTTATACTGCAGCACTGTTTTTCATGCTGGAAAACCTGGGAAGCAATGCCTTGTTTATTGTTATATTTCTATGATGATGCTTTGCTGTAATAGTAGTGCTTTAATTAGTGCACATCGATGTTCTCTTCTTCACAGGAAGAAAAGTAAATTATTGGTAAGTTTGCCACAAGGAAATTAAGTTGCATAACTTGGCTTCTTTCTCTATTTTTCTTGGGAATATGCCACACTGCAAGCGGTGCACATAATGCTTTTCTGCTTTCCAGCAGTTACAGGGTGAATCTTACCCTACTGATGTGAGTAGGACTGCAATTGGTGGCATTAGCTTATGACTTGGGTTCATTAGGAGGCCCATAAATGTAAGACATATTCTCCAGTTCAGTCTTTGCTAATAAGGAGTTACTCTTTGGTTCCTATTTGGCATTCTTTTTTTCTCTTCTTTTTAAAATGAAACCATCTAGATATATGTTCTTTATTTGGTCCCTTTTCTTGCCACATTCAGAATATATTATGATGTAGAACAGAGACTCAGTGTGAGCAGGGTAAGTTGGTCTATCCTTTGGGAATAACATGCTAGCTATAAATGTGGAGGAATTTTTTCTTAGTGGCTCCTTTTGGTTAAGGTGGCTTTGCCCACATATATATGACTGATTTCAGACAGGCAGGGCTGTGCACATGAGGTCTTAAGCAAACATCACCAGGTTGCACCCTTCATTTAGCAAGAATAACTACTCAGTCTGTGATAAGCTTTTGCATCCCACCACTTTCTCTTCTCCCTTTCCAGGTGCTAGAACACAAGAATACCAGCTTCAACTATGAGCTCACCTGATAAGAGGCGAGCATTGATCACCAATGACACACATTAAGCAGTAGTGCATCTATTGATGACACCCATTCTGGCCCCACAATTTCTCTGTCCAGGAAATACTTCTAAATTCCATATTTGCTTATAAGGTTCATTGCTCCTGGATCTCTTCAAAAGAACAAGAATGTATGTTGGCCAGCTTCTACCTGTGGACCCTGTTACCTCAGCATTTGACTGAGGTAACAACCACATCATCCCACAGAAGGCTGATGCAGCAGAGAGAGGCAGGGTATAGCTTGCATGGTCCTTCCATCCTAACTGCAACCTGTGCTAACTATAATAATACATCCCACTTCTTTCCCCTTGCTTCTGACTCCATGCTTTACACGGATTAAATAAGCCATATAATTAGAGCATACTATCAAGGTAGTTTGCATGGTGATCTAACTAGAAGCTACTTCTTTTGTAAAAGGTAACTTCTCTCAGGATAAAAATGGTTCTCAGTTGGTTAATCACTGGTGGAGAGGATGAGAATTATTTACTGGGTTTTCATATCTCAGTTCCCATCGGCCAATGGAAGCACATGTTGTGATCTATCCCTATGATGAGAACTGTATGATTATTACAGTTACCTAAATATTACTTAATGTAATAATGAGGATAGATATAAAAAATTAATATTACATGTAAAAACTTAATTACTCAAGGACACACACAATGAGATCAATTTATACATCAGTGACTAATTGTTGTGCAAGATCCATTCAAGCCCTCTTTCTTTCAATAGGAGGCTGGCTCTTCACCAGGTACATGTGTGTTGCTAAACATAGTCTAGACTCTTTGAAGTGAGGTACAGCCCGAGATGAAATTCTGCCCATTATGATGCACATGAATGGTATGAACAAGTTTCATGCTATGTCTTTAAATATGAAGAGGGCTGCATCCTACCCTTTCCAACCTTTCCTTTATTCAGTGGCTAGAGTACAAAAAATGGTAGCTTCAACCGTAGGTTCACCTGAAATGATGATGTATTGACAAGAGAAACAAACTTGAACTGGGGTAAATTTGGGAGTAAAGCTATCTGCCCTGGATGGCTAGCCTAGCCCCAGCCTCCTGTCTTGAGCAACAAGATTTGTGAGCCACTGGATTTTGGGGTTTTTATTCTTATAGCAGCCTAATCTATATACTCATTAATATAAGGTAAGAGCATGAATGTATTTAATCTATATGTAAAATACACAAATTTTTGAGATGATGCAATCAATAGTAGAATAAAGGATAACTCTGGGGGAGCAGAGAGGAGAATGGGCAAGATTAAATTAAAATAGGTGACCTATAACCATGAAAATAAATCAACAAATCTACTGCAATCCAGGTTCATTATTTTTCGCCTTGCTCACTCGCGATGTGTCATTTCCTTCCTTGAGATCATGTTTGCTGGAATCCAGGTATGATATTATTATGAAAAGATGGAAGCAAATGGTGGGGGGAAGAGAAGGGGGAAAGAGAAAGAGAGGTCATGCAAATTAAGCCTACTTTGGTAGATTTTATTTAAATCCCATCTCAAAACTCCTGCGTATATCTCCCAGTACTTCACTCTCTTTTATGTGCTATACTGTGGCCAAAGTAAGCCCGTGTTTTACGCATCAGTAACTTTTCAACCCTAGGAATTCAATTCAGACCTTAAATCGGCACCTGAGGTTCTTCATAATCCAGTAATTAATTTCTCCAGCTCCATCTATCTGTCCACACTTGCAGGTGAAGCTCCAGGCAAATCAAATGCTTTTAGATTCTAAAAATTGCTGTATTCTTCCTTGGCAGCTATACTTCCTTTGTTAGGAACATTCTTTCTTCACTTAGATAATTCCTATTTTTTCTTTAGGACTACTCACCATAGGGCCCTGGAACTCTGAAATTACTTGACTTTCAGTCTGGACCTGGTAGGCTATGAATAAACTCTGAAGATACTCTTTGTGTGTACTCTCTCTTTCTATATATAGCACTTATCACGTATATCACAATTAATTGTCTACCTCCTCTACTAGATATTTGTTAAGGTAAGAGAATTTCTTGTATCTCTGCTGCTTGACATGCATGAGCTGCTTCATAGGGAACTGGGGCTGAGGATTTAGCTCAGTGGCTCTGCCGCCTGCCTTGCAAGCCTAAGGACCCAAGTTTGATCCCTGGTATCATAAAAAAAAAAAAAAGGAACTATATAATTTGTCATCCAAACCAGAATGGTACTAATCATTCCATTAACACAACAGGTACAAATTGGGCAAACTCCAGCATTTGATTTTCTTATCTGTAAATATTTGGTTAATGTATACATACTTTTTGGATTGATATGTGTACATTATCAGATTAGAATTTAAAACATATGTCTCATTTACTAGACTTTTACTTTCTTAATGATCTCAGCACCGAGCATTATTCATGGTACACAGTGAGGTCATAGAGAACACTGAATTAGTAAATAAGTACCTGCTACCTGTGCCACCTGCTCAACTTCCTCTGAGATAGATGCCTCACCATCAATGTACTGGAGAGATGTGGTAGAGATTTCTGATTGAAATAAGGACATGAGTACTTTCACTTGAATGTAAAAGAGAATTTTTTCATAGAAGTTGTGTGAACTCCTAATATTTTTTATTACACACCTTTTCTTATATGATTCTTTCTTGAGATTTCTCTCTTGCCTAGTTGAACCTTGTGAAATCTTGCAGTATTCCAAGTTAATAATAACTACTTCATCTCCCCACACCATGGCACTTGAGGATATGGTTACTATGGGACACAGTGTTGAGACACTGTGTACATAAGAAAGCACTTGGAGTTTGGAATGCCTTTCATTTGCACAGGAGGTCAGACATACCAGAGCTACTTCATTCCTGAACATTTCTTGGCTACTGATTCAGCTCATTCAGTTCACTTTCAAGAGAACACTTATGTCTTACCTTTTTTTCCCCTGTGCTTTTATATTAATCAACTTTAGGAAGATTTTCCCCCTAGTTGCGTGGGAGTCTTCTGCCTACATGACCGTTCTGTGTTAAAATGAAGAAATAATTTGAGTGAGTGAAGAGAAAAAGCCTAAATGATTTGCAAAGGCCTTTGTTTAAGCTCTGAATTTAAAACAATTACTTCTAAACACACTCATTCCAAGTTTCCAGAGTACAATTAAATTTAGCTAAAACAGATGAACTTGTTGGCTTACATTATTAGTCAAGGAATGCACAATCAGGCATGCACATCAACATTCAGTCATGGGCCTAGGATGAAGGGCTGTAGTGTTTGGGTTCTTGAGGTAGTTATAAAATGTGATTAAAAACTATGGTGAATGTTCAATATTTTAATATTCAGTACAGTAAAAGGTACACTGGCATTGGTTTCCTCAAAATACCTCCCCCCATCTGAACTGCAGTTCTACCCCTGCATTCCTGCCACTTTCTGAAGCAGCTCTGAAGTCCTCTTTCGTGAGTGTCTTTAGTTGTCCTGCTGTGGCTTTTTCCACGTCCTGCATCAATTCAACATATTTAGCTTTCATGGCTGTTTTCACTTTGCCGAAGACCCAGAAGTTGCAAAGTGCAAGGTCCAGAGGATGAGGTAGATGAGGGCACACTATAATTATTTTTACAAGCTGCCTCTTCCATCGGATGGAAATTGGCAGTGGCATTTACCCTATTTTTGATCACTTCTTAGAAATACTCATGAACTGCTTCAGAAAGTGGCAAATGCTGGGGTACTCGGTTCAAAGTGAGAGCATTTCAAGGGGGTTTGATGGTGATGTGTCTTTTACTGAAAATTTTAAAAAAGAATTTAATTATTTATTGTATATTTTGATCACGCATCATAAGTATGTACAAAGAGGACAGAGAGCTATGTCTTTGAACAGCATCCACAAGTTCCATGTGTTTGTTTAGGAGTTATTCTACTGGGGAAGTTTCACGCATCAACTAAAATGAATGTAAAACACCTCATCCTTTTCAGAGGGTTGAAATCTAGTCAGAAACTAAGACACATTTTTATCAAAAGTTTTAGAAAGACTAAGTTACAAGGTTCCAAGTTTTTGGGGCACACTAATTACTACTTTTCTTCGCACAAAGAATCAAATTCTTCTGAACACAGAAATCTGAGTCAATCATTGTACACTGCATATTCACAACCAAAGAAAATAAGATTTAAGAGGTTAGGTACTAGAGGGACACCTGGATCTACCACTACATAGCCAGGAAACCTAGAGTAATTCATTCCTCCTTTTCATCACACTGTAACCCTTAATGATAAACATTAACTAAGTGTTCTGTAAATTTAACTGCAAATACTTGATTCTATAAATTAGCATGTTAAATTAAGGGATGACTACATAGTTTGACCACTAGTCGTCCTTCTTGTGCAGAAAATGAAATAATTCTTGTCTTCCTTGTGTGCAAAATGAGGGTGAGTGGAATACCTTGACTTTAGCTGGTCATGTGTCTAAAATAGAAGACGTGTTCCTTCAAAATGCCTGGCCTTTTTTTTTCTCTAAATACCATATTTATCTTAGAAGTTCTTTGTATACAGAGCTAGAGCTCTGCATTGTAAAGAAGACAATATTTTGAGATAAACCAGTGATAAATTTGTAGTCTGTTCAGCCATTAGCTGTTTTCCTTGGAGAGAGTTTTCATTAGTCTCCACCTGAAAGGCTATCAGTCCTAGGTAGGTATTTGATATATGGGAGTCTACAGATTTTAAAGAAAGCTTAAAAAACTGCTTCATTTGTTTGTAAATGCATATGCCCACTCATCTGGACCTAAGTACAAGGGAAAATTATAAGGAGAGAGGTCTAGAAGTCTGCTTGTATGTGTATCTCCCTTGAAGGGCAGGGCTGTCTGGTATTGATATAGCTGCAAATACCAATATCTCAAATCTATTTTGAGAATGAATGCATGGGAGGCAGACAGTAAGGCGCTACATGCCTTACATGCTACATGTCAGTGTTCAGATTATAAAGACTCCCCATGACATCTTTTTAGTGAAGGGGCTTCAATTTTAAAAGGTTCAACTCACATACAGGCATAATTTAAACAAACTATATCTATATGTGCATTCAAAGAAAGGTACTAGATGACAATATATGTTCTTTTCTAGAAGTTATGATTGAAATATTGGAAATATTTAAAGTTTATTATCATTTTAATTTTGGGACTACACAAGTCAAAATAAAGTTACATCGATAACCCCTCTTTCTTATTCTCAATTTCTTGTACTGGAGATTGAACCAAGGGACTTCACACGAAGCTACACCCCTTTTTCTCTTTGAGAGCCTTGCTGAGCCTATCCTGGATTTCCAGCTTGGCACCTGCTTGTAATCCTCCTGCTTCAGCCTCCCAGAATAGTG